TTAACGCTCTAACGTTCTAGAAGACGTGTCCAAGTTGTAGGCTACATGAAGTCCAATGAAGAAGACAAGTTGATGATATCGTGAGATTTGGAAACAATGATCTGTTTGATATAGTATCTAGCTGACATTAGGACTCGCTCTCACGTTGATCATATACCGTATATTCATGTCTTATCTCATCATATCCTACGCATCGTACACCAAATATAGATCACAATAGAGAGGGTACAATTGAAAAGCTAACAGCAGTCTACCAGTTGGCCGCTTTTTTGGTATGTGATATTGTGTGGTTTGAGCGTTCTTCAAATTGCATCCAATCGAACAAAAATGACTAAATTAACCGATTCTGAATTAAAAAACATTTTTTCGTTTCATTAGCTGGATAAGATATAGAAGTTACAGAACAGTAAGATATAATACTCCACGTCATTTTACCAGCTCTTTTACCACACTGGACAGTAGGACAGAACCATCCCCACTCTTCATTCTGTCTACCATGGAAGTTACGTTTGCGCTCTGCAACAGATTTACGGAAACTACCGAGGATTGCCGAATGTCATTATTCTGAACAGACGTTTGTCCGATCCATATGTCGGAAACTAGAAGTTAATCTGAAATGAAGAATTAAAGGTCTGAGATCTGACGGTAACTGTCAATCAATCATACTCTCTGATATTTAAACACAAGACAGCCATATCGAGTTCAAACATTGATCAAATACCCGACAACATTAATCGAACGCGACTTACAGGGTTATTCGATAGCTCGTTCCAAGCAATATTGTCATTTCAATATGCACGACCTTTGACGGTATTCGTCTCAACTGCACGACCTTACTCAACCCGTCGTCTCAATCTGCTCCAATATGTGCTGTGAATTGACAGCCGTGCAGAAGAACGTGCCCCCGAGACTTCACCCCCTTCAAGATTTGTATAGACAAGCCGTCAAATGTCGATATCTGATAGGAAAATGACCCTAAAGGTCACCCACACACTTCTATCAGGTGCACATGCGCCATCTCATACTAACACGGTTAGGCTTTGATCTCGTGACCTTTGACATCCCACGAGATTTAAGGAATGAGAAGATGATGCTAAGCCTCGTTTTGATGTATTGATACTATTTCTAGTGAAGGGAGATAATCTGAAATGTAAACACGGTAGAAATGAGATATTGCATCAATCATATTAATATACCGTCCTTCAGTCCTCGATCTATAGTATCAAAAATACTATAATAACATTATTAGCTATGTGGACTCTCTACGTGAAAGAGAAGATGAGTCGACGGCGGTTTGTCAGAGAAAGACACCTTTCTTGTAGCAGTGTACGGGCTGTATATATTGAAGGTTCTGCAATGGTGTATTAGGTGTTATAAGAAGCACTGACCAATGAGGTCAAAGACTAAATTAATGCAACTCTCTTCTGGTAAAATTTTCCTTATTGCCCATTACATGGCGTTATTCATTCTCACAAGCCAAAAAAATGAAAACGGGCAAAGGTAAGACAAGCATCCCTCTTTGATATTTCTTCCAAACGTTCAGTTCTTTGAGTACAAAAAGAAAACTGAAGGCGAACAAAGTAGTTGACCCCAAACAATCTGAACGATTCTTAAAACCTCGAACGTCTTAGAACCTAAAGCTTTAGGGATGTCAATCACTCAAACGTCAAATACCAGATGATTGACACTTGCGGTGTTTTCTTTGATGTTTTTAGGCTGATGTTTTGTGATTAAATAGAAGAGAGACCAGTGAGAGTCCAGGGCGTGTTGAGTAAATACGGTACTCTGTTGGTAGAAACATACCAAGATGAAAGAATGACATGTATTTTGTGTTAAGTTTAGAATATTTCGTATTACCATTGTCACCTCTTCATCCTTTCTTCTCTTGCATATTTTTTCTTTGTTCGGCTATTCTGCTCTCGTTTGTCTGTCCCATTGTTTCAAACACCAAACGAATTACGTATGGTTCTGACAGTTATTTCCATGCAAGAACCAAACCTGACGAATCCAATCGGGCGTTTTGAACATTTTAGCTTTTCTTCTATCTATAGATACTTTTCTGTGCCCAAAGATCTAAAATTTTGCTGACTTCAGTCGAGATTTTAAACCAGTGGTTTTATTATAAATATATTTTTCAAATTTAAACTTTTCCTCTAATTTCCTGTCCGATTGTATTATGGGTGTTATTCTCAAATCCTGACTGATTTGAAAGCTGTTAAGGTTTGTTGTTTTGTTTGTGATTTAAAGGTAAAGTTTTGGTTTGCTGTTTTTGGTCAGGGCTAATTACGACAATAGAAAACTAACACCTTGTTTTCTAATAAAGTTGATA